ACATTTTAATAAAGTATAATTATAACTAAATCTTTATTTTTGTTACTCTATTGTTTGAAAGAGTGCATTCATTCAAAGCATCGATAAACAAGTGATATTTACACAAATGTGCTGTTTCTGTTCATTTTTACTAGTTAAATTAGTTTCGCTCTAAGCATAATTTAAAGCAACATACTGACAGAGTGTTACCTGTGTTTGAGGTAACATTGAATAATTCTTATAAGTTTACTGCTCTCAATATAGAAAGTGTATGAAATATGCAATAAAATCACTGTTGATAATTCTTTAGACATATGACGTAACAGAAAATGACAAAGAAGAACCACAAGAAGGTGTTAAAGATACAAAGTCTTGCGTTCTACGAATTTTGTTTGAAATTAGATTGTGACGGTAATTACAAATAAAATGTTCTTAAAATATATTCATAATATGTAAGACAATTTCTATTTAAATCATTTATTACCAACCTATGAAAGAAAGAACTGTTTAGTGTAACGGAAAAACATATGCAATAATTACTGCAAATAACGGTTGTTTATTTTTGCTCATCTGGAGGTATGCAGCTTAACTAAAAACAGAAAAATCATAACCTGAACCTGATGTGATTATGATTCTCAGTCCATTGAAACAACTGACCTTAAATTATTTATGTTTCACATCAAATATTAACACTGAAATGAGTTTAATAAAGTTATTGTTTATGTGTTGATTTTTAATTTAGTTATTCACTAGTTATTCACTAGCAGTCCACTAAATGTGTTCATCCTGTATATGTTTTGATACAGCTGGCAGTTAGAACCTGACGCTGTGGATTTAACCCAAACTTTTGCTCCTGATTTTACTCTCACTATTGCATCAAACGTATTACAGCCATACGATGCATCACCAAAGTTAGCATCTGCTGCAATAACGTGACCTTCCAACACCAGACCAAGATATGCATATTTACTATACCAAGCACATGCATGAACAACAAATTGGTACAGTCCTCCAACAGGTGCCGTGAACAAGCCCGTAGACGTGTCGTAACCTGTTTCCTCGTTCGTGGATGTTTTCTCGAATATGAGAATCTCATTCGAAGTATCAAGAACCAGATCTTTCACGCTATGTGCGTAGAAAGCGATAGGAGGTTGTTCGAGATTACCTGAAAATAGAAATAATATTTTTTTTTGTATTTCATATCTAAAATATCTAACTCAAGGGGCCTATGCAAGCAACAAAACCTTATTTTTATATTCGGCCAATATATGTAGAGTTTTAAAAATTTAAATAATAAAAAACTAGAATGTGTGAATGTAAACAAAATTATCTTGACGTCTGAGAGTTAGAAATTTACTTATGGAGCGACATTGTTTGTTACATCTGTTCGCTATAAAAACTGATACAAGGAACTTATTCGCTATATGCTTATAAGGAACTCCGGATATAAGGAACAGATTTTGAATGTCCCGATGAGTTCGTTATAAGCGGAGTTTACTGTATATATTATTGACCACGTGATTTACTAAGATAAAAAATGAGTCAAGTTAGCAACAATTCAATTTGCTATGATCCGTTGTAGATAAATAAATATCAAACCCAATTGATATACAATAGGTAACAATACATTGGAGTTGAATAAGTTTCTCTTTTTCAGCCTCGATGTCACTAGTCAGGGTTTTTCTTGTTTCCTCAAATAATGTTTTGAACGATTCTGAAATAAAGTATGATAATTCTATTAACTAATTTCTAACCAAACATTCAATGGTATTAAGTTAGTTAGTTTTTCATGCAATGACACTACTGTGTCACATTGAAGGTTCCATCATTACCGCCGTATGAACACACTGCGTATGTTTCAAAATTCAAAATTTGACCATTTTTGTGATTAAATGTTGAATTCTGCTTCAGCCGGTGAACGGTAACTTGCAACTTCCATCAAACCGAGCCTGCAACATATTACAATTTCAAAGTTTAGCTTTGCTGTAGGAAATGTATTTTTGATTTTATATATTTGTATTATACCTTCTCTCCTATCTATCTCGTCATTTCTCTTTAACATCTCGTCCGTTATGTTCCCTCTCGTGTCTGCAAACATGTCCGTAAAATCAGCAACAGTTTGTTTAATGTCACCTAATGTACTGATGACATTATCCTCAGTTTTCTTAATTTCATTCACCATTGTTTCTACCTTAATTTCAGTTATTATCATTTTCTCTAAAAGCTGTTCTTCATATGCAAATTTAGAACAAAAAGGCTCTATAGCCTCAGAAAAATTATAACTATATATTCCAACGACAACAACAAACACAAATAACAGTGAAAACCTCATTATGATGAACACAGTTGTACCACAAAATCTGAGAAGCTTTCTGGATTTAACCTTTTAGCAAAACTTCATTTATTTACAAAAAAACATGTTTGTATGAATATGAGGCCCGTATATGCATATTTTAGCACAACCGCATGGAGTTCAAAACTTGAGAAACATTAATAGGTATTATCGTTCATTTAATATTTATGTTACAATAATGTTTCGGAAAATAAAATCTCAAAACTCGGGTCATGTTTGCACATACGCAATTAACAAAAACAGCCATAATATACAAGTATAGGCATAATTAAATATTTATTATTAAAACGACCTTCATCTTTTAGCTTTTGTGAGAAAAGAAAGTTAATTTCAAACTGTACAATACAATTTTGAAGAATTAAGTTTCTTTAAATTTGAATTTAATTTAATTCTAATTTTAAAAAGTTTGGTACTTACGGATTACCTGGAAAAAAGTCACACGTACCGAGTTCCGGAGAACATCTATTGTTCCAGTGACGTTAAACGAATCGTCGATAACATTAAAATAAGAGAAGTTTTTTTTTTCTAGATCAACAATGACGCTGTGGACGGCACGTGATCCAACAATTACTTACCTCTACTCAGAGAAATCGTCAAATGAAATCAAAACTGTTGCAGAATTGAGAACTTATCGACCCTTTAAATCGAACAATGAATATGAAAACTACATAAATCTGAATCTTACAGAACATGAACATTTATAATATAGCCAGTTTAGAAGCGGTATATTGCCACGCGGTATATTGCCACGCGGTATATTGCCACTTAAAATAGAAACTGATCGTTATATAGGAGCAATGGTTGAATAGAGGATATGTAGATTTTGTCCTCAAACAACGAAAGAGACGAAAAACATTTCGTCTTACAGTGCGCCATATAGAACAAATATATTTTGGAACATAGTTCTCTCACAAGACTTCGTTAAACTTGCAGACATTAAATTAAAACATTTAATTTGTGGAATTCCTTGAATATTGCTGAATTTGTTGTAATAGCTTATATCCACCGACGTACTGTAATGTACTGTATGGCTATATCATTATATGGTTTCTGGTGAATTTATAGACCAATTTAACCGGACGTTATGTTTGTTTTTTTCTTGTAGGTATGTATTGTAACAAATATGCACGTGTCACGATAATAAAATATTTACTTACATATGTACTTACTTATAAATATACAAATTTGTAGCGAAAACGAAAATAATTTTAAAAATAAATGTATTGTTACATAATTATATGGGGGATATTGAAAGAGCGTAGGTTCAATACTAAATTTTTAACAAGTTAAAGCGAGCCTTTGTCGAGAATAAAATCATTGTTTCAAAGAGTTCAAAAAATTTACACGATTATATATTTCTTTTAAAACACACAGAAAAAAGAATATTTCTTGCATTTATACTCTTGAGGTATAAAGCTAACATTTAGCGCATATTTACTATGTCTGTATAAAGTAAAGTAAAAAATCAGTAAACTAATTTTAAAGTATTTCATTTATTATGCAGAAATGAAGATCATACATTATTAAAGGGAAGAAAATGCTATAATTATGAAAAGTGACTTAAGTTATTCCCCTTCATTTGTAAAAATCACTATTTTCATTTAATTTTGTATTTCTTTTTTCTGGATTGTATTTATAGGCATTACCGAATTTCTTAAATATGAAAAATGTATTGAAGTTAAATTACATAAAATATGATAAAGATAGACAAATTATTCGGTATTATACGAGATGTATTTGAATGTTTTTTAGTAATTTTCTGTCTCATTAAACATTCTCACATTACATAAACTAAAGTATTTTAGTTATATATCATGATTTGTTAATGCCTGTAGTATCCATACAATATATGATGACGTAGATATATGTATCATGTTACATAGCCAATCTGAATCAGCCTCTTGAATACCAAGTAGTGTACAATAGTCGCTCGTAGTGAATAAACGTTTAAAATACACCGTGTTGCTTTCTGGGTCTCTGCTCGCAGGGACAGTAACGTCATTTATGTATTATATGATGTATTTTTGTATGTAATATGGTGATGAGCTTGTTATTTTTAAACCAAGAAATAAAATTTATGTTTTGTTCTTTTATGTTCTGTATAACGCAAACGACCTCACGTCGTGAAAAACCATGTTCAATGAGTTGCAAAACAGCCTGGGGTATGGGATTTATATTTATAACATGAACAAAAGGATATAAATTTCCAAACAATACTTTCAAAACAGTACATGTTGTTCAATACTTTATTGAAATTTTGTTACCTATTTTTTGTGAAATTTGCTTATAACCTTAAGTTTTTTTATTAACACGTATCTGTCAATGCAACAACATTCAGACACACATTTGTCTCATTGTTTCCTCCCAAAGTTCATTACAACATGGGATATTAAATATCCAGTTATAATATACGATGTCAAACATTTGCTGTCGAACAGTGTTTCAAAGTAAGGATTAAGTTAAAACTATAAATAGACTTGTGTATCCATCATATGATAGCGCATGATATTCATCAGATAATATTCTGTGCAAAAAAAAAAAATCCAAAAAGTACAAATGTATACATGCCATATTTAGTTGGAAACTCAACAATATAGTTGTTTATGTTTACTGATAAAACGGGTAATCAAAATATTCGTCGCATAAGATCATCATTGTATTTATGCTCTAATTCTTTACACTCAAACGAGCATAAATCATTTACATTCTTTAATAAAACACCTTTGAAAAAATAAATAACACAACACAGAGTTTAAAGAGGCTGGAGGGAGTATTTGTAAGCCGTCTCCACTAACCGTTTATTTTCCCAACCAACAAAAACAAAATTCTGGATCTACATATCAATTTTTGTTAAGACAAAAGTCCAAAAAAGCTTCTATATGACTAAGCAAATTCATCTGTTAAAAATGCCAAATACTTCGTGTAAAAGTAAAGAAATATAAACTTTCCAATAAAACTGAATAATAGAGTTTTGTAAAAACAGAAGTTTTTGGAAATGTTCGAAAAGTCAGGTTGCTGCGAGCGGGATACCCAACCCTAACTCCAACGTGGGAGGGGGAGGTATTGTTGAAGGATTAATACAGGCTCAAGACCAGCGGCTCCTTCGAACCTACCTAACGTAAAACCCAAATTTAGAGGTTTAAAATTTTTTGTCATAATGGAAAAAGGAAACGAATTTTGAAAATTATAAATAGACAAAAAACCACAGATAATTTGTCACTGAAATAAACTCATTTCATGTACATAATTATATGCAAACGGAATAATAATTCACAATGAATCAAAACGGAATTAAATGAATATGCCTCATCGATTTTGAAAGTCCATTATTTTTTTTTATTTTTTTTTACGTATAAAGACACACGTTTACTTTGCTCTGAGCTGTACATACTCCTGAAAAAGAAAACAATTGTAAGAAACATTTACATAACTTTCTGTATAATATGATCGAAAATATTTCAATATTTTCGGAAATTTCACATCTAAACGGCTTGACAAATAAACCTCGAATGCCCGCTTTACTAATTACAAGAAACTCGTGCACTATTGCCGCCAAAAACATAACTTCCGATTACTTCCTTATAAGGAAATACTAAGTTACGGTGTATGATTCCGATAATAAATACATGAATATTTGTAAAACAAAATCAGATATAAATGGAAAAGTTGAATGATTTATTCCTTCAGTTATCGACAAGTACTCCACTAAATGTGTTCATCCTCAATGAGTTTTGATGTAGCCGGCGGTCAGAACTTGAAGATGTTGATTTGACCCAAACTTTTTCTCCTGATTTTACTCTCGCTATTGCTCCGAAAGCACTACATGTGAAGTGATCATTATCATAGTTCATATCAGCTGCAATAACTTGACCTTCTAACACAATGCCAATAAAAGCATGGTATCCTTTATAAACACATGTATGCACAAAAAACTGGTACAGTCCTCCAACAGGTGGTGTAAAAAGACCACTAGAAGTGTCGTAGCCTGTTCCCTCGTTAATCACACTTTTCGTAAATATAATAATCTCGTCTGTTTTATCAAGAAGTAAATCTGCCACGTGATGTGCATGGAAAGCTATCGGAAGTCGTTCAAGTTTTCCTGATATAGAAACAAGTTAAGTAAGTACGTGTTTCCTAAAATTGTTTCTTTATGATTTATTTCTTGTTTGTATATTGGGTAATTTAATATAAACATATGAATTTTTTCATGCGTATCAATAACCGGTGGTTAAATTGAAAGAATAGCCAGACTTCCTGAATTTAATTTGTCATTCCATTTATAATATAAGCGTTGGGGAAATATCTCATGGATATCTACATATATGTAAAACATGATATCTTAAAGCTTTAATAGAAACATGTTTACAAAATATAGATGATGAATTGTATTCAAAATTAGTATATATACAAATAGCCATGTAATTAAATAAGTTTAAAGATGATGGCAGTACTAGTTTATTATTAACGCAAAAGGATAGTTAAATTCTTAATATTTCAAGCTGAATTTTGACGTTTTATAGTACAGTGTACGTGAATACACTTTAAAACAATCAATTGAATATCATATAATTAATCAAGATTTTATTAAACAAATTTTAGAAAATTATCATCCCGTGGATGTAGTATGAGAAAAAAATACCTTGAAGTTGAGTAAGTTCTTCTCTTTTAGCTTCCATGTCACTCGTGAGGTTTGTTCTTGTCTCCTCAAATAATTTCTTGAAGGATTCTGTAAATATTATATCAAAGTACAATTACTAACGGTTATCAAATTGCAATAAGTATTATATGTGTTATTATGTGTAAAGAAAGTTTTGCTGATAATACGAAACTTGATTCGAAATACATGCATATGTTAACATAGACATAAGTGTTACTTTTGAAATAAATATTTAGGGAAGCAAAACAACCTGCATTCTGATAGATATTCTAATTTTCTATAATCAAATTTCAGTTGATTTTTTCTAGTTTCCATTGGCTGGATTGTTGGCTATTTCCTGACGTAATTCAATATAAGATTAACGTAATAAAAAAGTTTTAGAAATTTTATACATGTTCATGCTTGTATTAGCAAATTGTTAAGCACGAGGTTGTTTATTATCAATCAATTTTATGAAAATTTACCATTTTCATTGTTGTTGTTTGTTTGTTTTTTTGTTTTGTTTTTTTGTTGTTGTTTTTTTGTTGTTGTTTTTTTGTTACATTATTTTCACCTTTCCCTTTATCTATTTTTTGCTTGCATTAATAAAAGTCATGCAATATTAACAAAAAAAAATTAGGTAAATATGTCAGCATTGTAACCGGTGTATGAAATGTGGCTTTATTTTAAAGCTTATGATTCTTTACGTTATAAATGTTCCATGCATTTGTCATATTACTGATTTTATCATTTCAGTTTTCATAAAGCTATAGGAACTATTAAGTTATATTGTGTCAGACTTAAACAACAATCAGATATAAAAATGCTAAAGATACAAGTTATTTTTCTTATTCCATCAGTAATATTTCAGTATACAAGTATCATTTTCTAACAATGTAGATCTGAGGTGTATATTTTACCTTCTCTCCTTTTTATCTCGTCACCTCTCTTTAACATTTCATCGGTTATGTTCTCCTTCATGTCTGCAAACATGTCCGTAAAATCTGAAACTGCTCGTTTAATGTCACCTAATGTACTGATGACATTATCCTCAGTTTTCTTTATATCATTCACCATAGTTTCTACCTTAATTTCAGTTCTTATCATTTTCTCTAAAAGCTGTTCTTCATATGCAAATTTCGAACATACAGGCTCCCTAGCCTCAGAAAAATTATAACTATAAATTCCAATGACAATAGCAAATGAAAATAACAATGAGAAACCCATTTTGATGAGGACAGTTGAAAAATAAAATCCGAGAAAGTAAATTCTGTGAAACATACTCACTGAGAGAAACAATTGTATTTATACAAGGAAATCTGCTTTGTTATTTAAGTATGAGGCCCGTAATAAATTTTTAGTATAGTTGTTTAGCATACATGCACTAAAATACGGTATCGAAGGAAATCCTTTAGAAACAGTTTGAGGGAACAGTTTGATTTTTCTTTATATAAACAGCACTTCCCAATTCATAGTTAAGTGACAGCACTATTAGAAACAAAGCAGCATGTTTATATTAAATACATACAGTTGATTCAAGATCTTGTAGAATAATATATTTGATAAAGAAAGTGATGTGTTGACGTTTTATACCAATTTTTTCATCATACGTGAATTTGAAATGATTATTCTTTATTATTGTCACAAAAGTCTTGTAATGGTGATATTACACTAGAGAAAAAGATGAAAAACGATAGACTCGTTTTGATTGAGACTGTTCATGAAAGACACTGGTAGATGCAACCACTTTTCACATCCGCTGACATCTGCTAAAGCAGTATTCGTTTTTCCATACAATTAAGTATTATAACCAATTATTCTGAAGGCCCTGACAAAAATAAAAGCACTGAGATAAATTATATTATGTAAGACAGTTACCCATCAAGAAAACGGAAGATTGGCCATTGAAACTGGTACTAGCTTGCCAAGAGCTACCAACAAAGATATTTGAAGCATCCGTTATATTTCACCACGTTTACTTAACACAAACTGTTGATATAATAACGTCCTTATAAAGACGTTTTTTCAATATAACTATAATCAGAGTTTTATTAAATAAAAATGGAAAAAAACAGAATCCATAAATAACGCCTTAACGACAAAATTGTAAATGTTACAGGTTCGGTTTGATTGAGCCGGTTCATGGACATTACGGGAAATTGCAAGTTACCATCCACGCCCCCTAGCACCGACTTAAGCAGAATTCAACATTAAAACATGGCAAAGGTGAAAGTTGAATTTAGAAACATCCGCAGATGTGTTCATACGGCGGTTAATATGGAACGTTCAATGAGATACGTTAGTGCCAGTCCATGCAAAGCAAAACTCGATTGAATTCGTTGCTACTATAGATAAAAAAAACTTGATAAATACTAAATAAAACTACTAAACTTATAAAGTAGTTAACATTTCGTTAACCATTTCAATATTACTATAATCAGATTTTTGTTTTGCCTTTAATTACATTCTGAAGATTTAAAACTTTCGTTCAAAAATTCTTCTAGCTGCTAATTGTGCTTTAAGAATTTTAGCTTTTCAATGGTCGTACATAAAGTGATTTATTTCCACACTAAAGGCTGACTGAAATATTTGATTTCCAATGTTTTAAGATAATCATAAATATAGTAACGAACAAGAATATAATGAGAATTGTTAAAATCATAAGTAACTAAATTGTAACTTGAAAATAATAACAATCCCTCCTACCGAACCTAATTCTATAAAGAAAAAGTAAACATAAATATTATTATTGAAAGCATAACATTATTATTCTTATCTTATTATTTATTGTTTTGTTTTGAAACATTTGGGCGTATATTTTATTAAACTATCTTTACATCGGACAAGTTGGTGATATATTTTCTCGCCTTTCATGAAAATCGTGATGAAAAAATAAAACAACAAGTCGTGTCTTTACAACATCCTGAAAAATCCTAACTGTTGGCAATATGATAATAGTATCAATGAAATTCATTTTTTCAACTTACATTATTCAAGAGGTGTTATTGTTTTACCAGGATGTATCTGTATCTATACGAAAATAGTTTCAACTATTCACGAAAAGGTGCTTTGTAATTCACCATGTGAATCTATACTTAATTATTCTTTCTCTTTTTAAAATGTATTGTTATAACACCATGATGTTTCTTTTTAGTAGATTTCTTTTCGTTTGCATTAATCAAGTGTATCATATTAAAAGCCTTGCCGTAATATATGTACTATATGAACCAAGAAAAGTTCTAGTTATACACCAGTTTCAACTCTTCTCGAAAAGGTGCTTTGTAAGTTACCTAGCGATTATATAATTAATTAATCTATCCCTTTTAATGTTTTTGCAACACTTTGAATAAAATTTAAGGAGCACGTCATGATATATAGAATTTTTCATTTAAAAAAATGAGAGTATTTTAATTATAACCAGATTGGCAAATATAATAAGCGCACAATGATATTTTATGATCACCAACTATCCAACAAAACAACGCGTCAAAATACACAAAATACAATTAATTTATGTTACTCTTGAAATCAAAACAAAACAAAAGCAAAAATGAAAAACATTGGTTAGCATGTAGTTACATACATGTATATGACAAAAACACAAAGCACATTAAAATTGATTTTGATAAAAAAGGAAAACGGAAAATTATGTCGTCAATATTGAAAATTTTAGCATACTTTAATGCTAACTGCACGGCTGTCAACTTCATATACACAAGACATTTTCCCGTTGCATGATTAATCATTCAACACTTATTTATATACACACATTATTTCAGAGATGACGAGGCGTTTTTTCATCTTTTATTAAACTTATCATTTTTCATTGGTTCCTAGTATATATTTTCCGTTGAGTGTGAAACAAGTTAATTGATATCAAGCGACTGTTTTCACCGTGAAAGAAATACTACGAAACATAATTTTACTGAAATTTCTGAATTTATAATTTTCATTACATGAATGGCAGCATAAATCATGTTCAATTGTAAATCAATTTGCTAATTGACATGACTGCATACATGTATTTATGTTTAACATAAAAATATTAAAACCTGCTATTTAATCCTAAGAAAACTATAAGTCAAGTACAATTAAATGATAGTTTTCCATGGTTACCTTTCGGCGATATTTTATTATTTGAAATATCCTTATTATGTAGTCTCCTGAATGTAATGCACATCCTTTTAAATACCTGAATAACTCTTCGATTCTATAGTTTTCTAAAATATAGAAAAGAAGAATCCCTAAAGAAAGCCCAACATAGCAAAATTAAAAATGTTGCAGGCTCGTTTTGATTGAGCCTGTTCATGTACGATACTGTCAAGTGCAAACTACCATCCACGTCCCCTAGCACCGACTTAAGCAGAATTCAACATTTAACATGAACTCGTACAATTTAGGATTTTGAAACATCCGCAGATGTGTTCATATGGCGGGTATCATGGAACCTTAAATGTGACACGTAAGTGCCATTCTATATGGTCCCAAAGTAAAAATATGCGTGTGCCCTAACTCTTGTATTTTGTATCTTAAGAAGCTTAATGTGTTTTAGCTACAACAATCTTTGTCGACTTTATATCGACTTTATATCGATATAATTTATTTATGAGAATATATTGAAATAATATCATATACAAATATTTACATTGCAGTCTGAAAGAACATAACTGTAAATTATTTATAAACGGTTCAATCATTAGTAGCCGTTTCAACTATATATCTAAAATGCTTCAGTTATAATAAATGTTGTCAATCATTTACTGGCTTAAAAGTTTTATTTAACAGGTTAAACATTGAAGCTAGTCCAAAATAATCCATACACGTGGTATGTAATGCATAGGATGTAATAAAAAAGAAGCTGATTATCATTTTGTTATTGAAAGTGTGATGAATAATGATTTAAGAAAAAAATATAATTGCCGAGAATCTGGCCATTCTTAAAACAATTACAAGAGACTGTAAATCAGAAGGATAACACAACAGCAAATATAACCGTGGTAAATATGAGCCGGAGATTTGCCTCCCTTATTTTAACGTGATTGTTACATACCTGTATCTAAATATATAATTATAATTGTCTTAGTAAAGCCTGTAGCAAGTAAGACACTTAGATCCCTTTACCTCACGTTCCCGTAGGATATTAAAATTACTTCTAGACCCATTGGCTCTTAGATCACTGCATACATAATTTTTCAATACCCCAGTGGGTAAGACATTTTAAACCCTATATCAAATTGTGTACAGTACTTTAAAAGGCCAGTAAAATTATATTTCGGAAAATAACTCCTTTTCATTACAAGATTAGATCCAAAATAATATTGAAAAGATGACGCAATCAATATACATTATTTCTAAAGTGGATAGGTCAAACATTTTCATAATACTTTTTTCAAAACAATAGAAATGATTTAAAAAGTGCTTAAAAAGTGTTGATAAAGTTATAAGTGATTTAGAGTGAACATTTACATGATGCATAATCATAATTTGTTATAATCTTTATAATATCGGACCATAACGCTTGCAAACAACTTCCAAATATGATGCTTTGGTGGTTTGTTGGTATGTCTGATTCTTACTGCTTTCAACATATGAATTCCTCATACAGACCGACCGTTAATTATAGACCAATTGACTTTAATTCCTTTAATGTTTTTTACATACCATTGATAAAGTTTTTGTGGGATTTTTTTTCATTACATGTAAAAGAATAAAACTACAGTAACTACTACTTATAACAATAACAGAGAGAGGGTACCTACATTACACGCCAAAACGTAGCATTTGGAGTTTGTTGTTTAACACCTAAAAAAGAGAAACCGCAACACAACAAAATGAATAATATTGCAGGCTCGGTTTGATTGAATTTGTTCATTGAAGGTGCAAGTTATCCTCCAACCCCCTTGCACCAACTTAAGCAGAATTAAACATTTAAACACAAAAAAATGTGAAATTTGAATTTAAAATCATGCGCAGATGTATTCAAATACTAGTAGCGGTTATCATTAATTCCTCAATGCGACAAAGTAGTGTCATTTTATGACAAGTAAAAGAATGCGTGTTCAACAGTGTTACACAATTTGATATGAAGTTTATGTACGTGCTTGAAATCATAAATTCCCCATTCATATGAGCAATATAAAATCATAGGCACAACCATAATATCAGAAAGGGATAATTTAGTTTTAATATCTAAGTTTATTTCATAAACAATTTGCAAAACTGAATTTTAACCTAAAGATCTTGATTTTTCACCAGTTTTTTTTATGTAATT